TTCTTTGCATATATTTTCTTATTTTAAAATGTAAAATTACATCTATCTCTAATTGTACCCCAAATTAGGGAGCAGATCACATGATCAAGAGATTGACATTAACAGTCCTCCTAAGGATTAAAGCACAGATAGAAATTTCTCTAGTAGTCAGTGCTCTTCAATTATGTTGTACTCTTTTTTCAAGCCAAGTCTAGCAAAAGCCAAGTTGTAACTGCCTTGGACTTAAAGGTTCAGACACAAATGAGTTCTCTGTTTACTCTAAGCATTTGAGAATCACCAAAGTTGGTGTATTTTTGCCTTTGCTTTAGTATTCTTATTTATTTATTTTTGATATGGAATCTCACTCTGTCACCGAGGCTGGAGTGCAGTGGTGCAATCTCAGCTCACTGCAACCTCCACCTCCCAGGTTCAAGCGATTTTCTTGCCTCAGCCTCCTGAGTAGCTGGGACTACAGGTGCACACCACTACACCTGGCTAATTTTTGTATTTTTAGTAGAGACAGGGTTTTACCATATTGGCCAGCCTGGTCTCGAACTCCTGACCTCGTGATCCACCCACCTTGGCCTCCCAAAATGCTGGGATTATAGGTGTGAGTCACCGCACCTGGCCTTCTTATTTCTTATTATCTATTTTCACACTTTTCTTCAGCAATCAGTAAAACATTGGCCTATTGCATACAGGCAGTAAAGAAGAAGAAAAGGCTAAGACAGACCTACTTACACCTTGGACTTTTTTTCTCCTTTTTCTCCTATTAAGTAATATAGGGCTATTCTTTGGGTATGATTTTCATTTCTGTCTGGTACATAAATGTCAAGTTGAGTATGGAAGCATAGAGAAATTAAGCTAACAAAATGCCTAAGTGACATGGTGCAATTCAGTACAGCATTTCCACATTGCAGCTTTTGCCCTAAAATTAACCTTAAGCTTTACGCAGAGTAGAAAATACATGTAAATTTTATAAATGCATTTTTTAAATTTCAATATGATTATATCATATTGTTCTATTAAGGAAACCAAGGAATACCCTAGAAAAGGAATACCCTTTTAGTACCCACCCCGGAAAGAAAGTAATGGAGATGAAGAAGAATTTGAGTGAAAGGCTTACTGATTTCATTCAGCTGCTTTTGCCTAATACGAGTCTCCTTGGAGCATGTGATGTCTTTGAAATTTACTTAATCCACATTTTATTCATCATTACAATTGCTTACATTTTATATGTTTTCACTGTAACCAACAAGAAATTACTGGTCAGGAAGGTAAACCCTTCAGAGAAATGTAGAGATTTTACGTCTCTAATATGTGAAGTACTTAAAATTTAGTTGAGAGAAGTTACTGTATATAAAAGCAAAACAATGCGAATACTCTTCTAAGAGTAACTATAGTAAAGATTCTAGGTTTGAAATAAGGATATGGGACTAAGAACATGAACCCTCTCTCTAGATTCGCAGGATTTAAATTCTGGCTCTCCCAGTCATCATCTTTGTGAGTCTGGGCAAGTTAACTTCTATAAGCCTCAGCAAGCTTGGTAATAAAATAATTAAAATCTTTATTAAATTGTATCTTCCTTTCATGGTTGTTGGGAGGCTTTAGAGTATCTAATCCTAAGAATGTGTAAGTAAATGTTCATTATTGATGATTAAGTGTAATGTAATTTCTCTGGGCAGTCTTAGAGAATGTATTGTAACTTGAGCTTTGTGTGGCAATTAGTCACTGATTGATAAAGCAGTGGTGGATATTGATAGTGAAAGAATGTAGAAAAGGGCTGAACTTTTAAAGATGTACATGAGAAATAGAGAAGAGAATGGTCTAGCTAGAGCAGAGCACAATTCAAGAGAACATGATGGAAATGCATCCATAGTTTATTCTTGTGGCATCTCCGTGTTCTCCATGACTTCCCCAGATAAATCATATATAGTATGTGTTCTTGTTTGTAAAATCACTGCTATCTTGATATGTAATTGATTGAATAGAACTTGAAAGTAGCTGGATAGTATGTTGTACTTGTTAAAGTCAGAATAAAAAATGTAGAGATGAATCTTTAACATTTTATTTGGGAAGTAAGAATTGCAATTTGAGATACACACACACAGACCCAGTGGTCTGTCATATCTAAAGAACAAAGAGGAGGTTGGGAGTTTTATTAGAAAGAGAAATCTTATGTATTGCTTTGAAAGAAAGCTCGCCGGCACTAGAGAATTTCTTGGGAACTGGCAAGCTCTGATTGGTGAATGATGGCAGTAGGTAAAACCAGTTTTAGTGTCATGGCAGGTCATTTCAGCAGCTTCTAGGTAAAACTGGTCTTAGGGTTGCAGCAGGCTGTTTCAGCACCAGGGCTTGTGGAAATGTTAATTCTTGGGCTCGGTGCCCTGGGTGCTTTTTGCCCCTGGCCCTCAACCCTGATTTAGTTGGGTGCAACAAGAATGACTCAATTTGTATAATTGACTTTCGCACACCTTTCTCACATAATGGCCTTTTTTTAATGGCTGCTATAATTTCTTCTGTCCTTTTCAGTTTGAAAATCATTCTCCTAGCTAGAGAAGACCAAAGCAAGATAGAAGTTGAGTTTCTCTTTTTTATCTATTATGATTAGCTTTTCTTCCCAAACACGTTTGTTCTTGCCTTGTTTCTCTTCCTCTAAACATAGGTTTTAAAAGACCCTCCATGTAATTTTTCAAAGGCCGTGATCATTCTGGACTATAGTCATCACACCAGCATTCACACAGGCTCTGGTAACTTTCTCATTGACCTTGACTACCTGCTCCTTACATTTCAGTCCTTACCATTTTAAAAGCTCTTTTTGTTGTCACAAAAATCATTAGCATTTTGAGACCAAATACACATGGTCAAAGGGGATGAACTATATAACTCTGAGAATTTGTACCTAAGGATCCAGGAAATGGTGTCATTGCTAAGAGTATTGGAGGTGGAAAACAATCAGTTTCAGTTTCAGAGGAATAATTGGAGGTGACCTGTCAGGCAGTTGGAAGGTAGAACTAGAGAAAAAGTGAGAAACCATAACTAGGTAAGATTTAGCAGTCATGTGACCTTGATTATTTAACCACAAACATAGATAAGATGCTGGGGGCACAAAGCTGAGAAATGCAAAGAGTGACCACTGGGAGATAAATATGGTGAAAAAATCATGAGGAAGCTGAAGAGCTAATGAAAACGGATCTTTCAGAAAAGGAGGAATGTATCACACATAACCAGTCAAGACCAGTAAACCAAAAATTGTTCTAAGAGCATTGTGTAATTAAACCAGACATCACTGGTGGGGCAATTCTCTGTGGCATTCACATAGATGTCCCCCCAAGCCACATCTGTAAATTCAGAGTAGTATCAACTATAGACATAAGTGTTGTAATAAGCACATTTATTCCTTTCTCTGTCTGGGTTCCTGTGTAGCACAGAGTGCTGTAAGCTCTCTAGCTGCAATGGAGAGTTCAAAAATGAACTTCAAGTAGCTCCAACATGGTCTCCAGCTAAATTTCTTGAGATTCTCTATATACTAAAGGTCTGGAAAGGTAGGACAGTGTGGTATAGAACAAGAGTGCCAAACCAGCTGGTGACAGGCTAGAGGAAGTCTTAACTGCCTCTGATTAAAGCGTAACCTGAGCAAATCACGTAACTCCTTCTTTCTTTGGGCGAATCTCATTCATAAAATGAAGAAACTAGATTTGTAAGGGCCTTTCACTCCAAAATAATTACGTTATTTTAATACTAAGACTTACCCTCTGTCTTACTCTTTTTGAAGAGTAGCACACTATTTGGGGGAGTTTAAAAAGTTGTCATCTTTCCTTGCTTTAGAAAAGTGTCCTGCCAGTACGGGCCCTGGATTGGGGAATTTTAGGGGTAAGGAGTAGATGTTGCCCAAAATGTTCATATTGACCTTTTAAACTCAGGCTGCCTCATTTCTGAATAAACTCAATGTATTGTTTAACTTAGAAAATTGGTTAGGAAATTTTTATTTTTTATAACCTCTACAGAATTATATTTTAAGAGACTTTTAGATTTCAATAGGTAAGTGCTAGATATCAGCATTTAACCAGCAAATTCTGATTCTGCCACCTACTAGATGTCAATTCAACTTTGTAAATTCCAAAAAAAAAAAAAAAAAAGAAAAGAAAATTTAGTGCCACCAATAATGGAGTAGCTTAAGTCATTGATTCAGATTGATATTACAACTCTGACATCCAGGCTTCTAATGGGAAATATGCCTTTCAGAGGCTTTTCAGAGGTGATTTTATGTGACAAACATTAAATTATGAAAGGAAGATGATGGTAACTGGATTTATGCTTTCATATACTTAATTAAACTGAAGCTAGGCAATCAGTAGAACCAGAATCTAACCATCTAATTCTTGCAAGATGAAGCCACTGGGCAACCAGTGAGTATCCAGAGGAAGGAAATGTTGGTCTTGTTTTGGTTTTAGATTAGCAAATACAGTAGTGGCCACTTGCTTCTCTAGAAGAGTCTTGGTCAGGAGGTACAGGAATAGTCAGATTAAGGCTTTAAAAACGTCTCTATCAAATTAGAAAAGTAATATTACAAGGAGGAGGCAGGCCTTCGTGCTTTCATATGAGACACCATATTTCAAAAAAAAGAAAGAGGTAATTGAGATCTGACTAGGGTATTCTACAATTTTTTTAAATTTGATCCAGTTTTCTAAGACATGTTAGAATAAAAACTAACATGGCACATATTTTCCCTCTGTTCCCCCAAATGAAGATAACAACTAACCAGGCTGGTTATCACACTAAGATCCTACCATCTTTTATACCTCCTTGCTTCTTACATTGTTGCATGTAACTTCCTCTTTTCCATTGTGCTGGGCATGAGCATGAATTTTATGTAGCAAGGCTGAAATATTCTCCACAAACCTTTGTTCATGCTTTTGAGATGTAACATTTCTGCACAGGGCTCTGTTGCTTTTTTACAGAATCCATTTTCCAATTAATAAATAACATTATATTAAGAGAGTCTTCTTTTTACCAATTAGGTCAAAGTCCTAAAATTTTAAGACTCAAACCCCATGGTTTAGAGCGAACTGATTCACAAACCATAGGTGACTTTGCTACGAGAAGAAAGGGTATGTACTTTAGCACCGCATGCTGTGTGGGGCATTGGGAATTTATTTTGTAATTTGTTTTTTCTAAAAATCAAGAAAGAAGAAACTTAAATACTACTGCTGTTGTAAATAAAACTTTCCAGCATTCTAAAGTGAGCGCTTCCCATAATACATAGAGTCTACTTACTATGCCATTAACAGCAGCATGTTAAATGTTTGATAATATGTGATATTCAGACTTGTCCTTGTACATTATTCTTTTAACTTTTTAGACAATATTTTATCCTTTAAATTTGTGAACTGTTTGTGAGTTTCTGTTATCTTCTGTATTTCTGTATATGTATTCTGTCCTGAGACAGAATAAAGAATCATTTCCATGGATTAATTGTCCCATTATTTAAAAATTGACAGCTAAACTGCTATTAGCCTTTGGATGTCAAAAAGGTAAAACAGTAAGAGTTAAAGAAATACTTTTAGTTGGCAGAATATTCTGTATGTGTCCATTTTAAGAATATAGACAAGGAAAATGATTTTAGCTTGAATTTAATAAGTTAATTTGGTCTTCATTATATGTGAGTTGACAAAAATACTTGCTTATGAGCCTCAACGTATATGGTTATTTAAAATGGCCATCCGTTTTATAGTTTAATGGTAATTATGCCATAATTGATTAAAATCAAACATACATAGACAAAGACTATAAATAAACCTGGAAAGATGAAATTTTTGGTTAAGAGTGGCAGAATGAAACATTACTGAAATATTTACCTCACATGTTTAGATAGTTTCCTAAAGTATCTAGGATTAAATAGTATTGTTTTCGTTCTTTTGCTCACTCCATAAATGTCTGAAAAAATTTTCAGTCTTGACTTTAAGAAAATGGCTAAGAAATCTGTGGTATATATTGGTTTAATTGTCTACTGCAATAATGAGATAAGTAAAGATCACTTATAAATGGAACTAACAAAAATATTAGCATTTACTTAATTGTATATAATGAGCAAGAGATTTATTGGTTAAATTACACTAACAATTTGAAGTAAAATAATTATGCCCTTTTCTCAGGACAGAGTTTGGATCCAAAGATATAATATTGTTTTGTTTTGTTTGTTTCCAGACTGGCATGAATTATTCTAAAAAATTCAAACATTTTTTTGATTTAGGGTTTTGACAAAATTTTCATAGTTTCTATGCATCATTTTATATCTATAGTTATATGCTTCAATATTGAAGAATAGGAATTATTTTACATAGATGATTAAATTTCTTTGAGTATGAAATTAGTGAAATAATTTATGAAATAATGAAACGTATAAAGCAACTACAAAAGAACTGGGTCACATTCTTTCTTCATCTCATTTAGTTTATATTCATAAGATATTTACTTAAGAAGCAACATGTTGTAATAGAGATTTAGGCTTTGAAGTAAAAATCATGAAAACGTTATCTGATTTAGCTCTTAGCGCTAATTACTTAGCTATGCAACCTTGGGCAAATCATGTAACATTCATGAACCTCATTTCATATGTGAAACTAGGTGGTCTTAGGTTTACTCTGGCTATCAAATATAGAGTTAGAGCAAATCTTGTTTGTTTTCCAAAGTTCTGTACACTAAAAATCCCTTTCCTATTTTTCTTTTCAGCCAAGCCAGCACCTTTAGAAATAAAACCTTTGCCAGAATGGGAAGAATTACAAGCCCCAGTTAGATCTCCCATCACTAGGAGTTTTGCTCGAGAGTGAGTCCTTTGTCTAAAATATGTAATTTGTATGAATAATGTGACTATCTAGAATTGTTCATTATCATGGAAAATATCTAGAATAGTGGTTCTCAATGGATGATCTGAAGAGCCCCCTTTTGGGGGGTTCTGTAAAGTCAAAACTATTTTCATTAATATATTAAGATGTTATTTGCTGTATTTATTTGCTCCTTCTGAGTGTACAGTAGAGTTTTCCAGAGGCTACATGATATGTGATCATATCATTGTGACACCCAATAGAATGAATATTTGTGTACTACTTGTGTTTTAAAAAGGTGTCTATTTTCAATTCTAAGATGGCAAAATTAATAGATATAACTCATGTAAACAGACATTTCTTGGGATTCTCAATAATTTTTAAGACTGTAAAGGGTCTGTGAAACCAAAAATTTCTGAGGACTACTAATCTTGAAAATATGGTAGTCTCTTGTGGGGATTATTTAACTGAAACTTATTTAAATATATATAGGAAAATGAGAGAAATTTATGAGTTACAAACTTATATTGAACATATGATCATGTTTTATGTGTGTGTGTGTGTGTGTGTGTATATATATATATATATATATATATAGTTTTTTAAAAAAACAAAATTCTTAAGCCTTCCATTTTATATCAGAAGCTTTCTACTTCTGACAAAGTCACTGGTAGTAGTTTGTTTGTTCTACACGAAATACTTTGCTGTCCAAAATATACTTTTATAATACAGTTGTAAATATTAGTTATGTGTTTGTGCACAAAAATTATGTCATAAATGTGTACAATGAGTGATTATAAACATAAGGGAGTATTTCTGAAAGAATGCAGATTATCTCTCATTTTTATTTGGGGAATAATTTTAGATATTTTTGTCAAGTCTTATGTTTGTGATGATGATTTTTGTAATTAGCTCTTCTAGGTTTCCCATGTCCCCCCGACCGGATTCAGTGCATAGCACCACTTCAAGCAGTGACTCACATGACAGTGAAGAGAATTATGTTCCCATGAACCCAAACCTGTCCAGTGAAGACCCAGTATGTAAAGTCTTAACTTCTCCCTGAGCAGCCCGTTTAAATCATTCAAGCTAGAACTGTTCTTTCCATCTATAAATTTTATCCTCACATCCTTCTTTATAATACTTAAGAAGCAATAAAACTTTTTAAAATGCTTATTAAAAATAATACCGTAAACTCTAAAACCAATAAAAGGTGAAAATATACTGTAAATGAGTTAAAAAAATAAAAATTGCCCGGCGCAGTGGCACAACCCTGTAGTTTCAACTGTTTGGGAGACTGATGTGGGAGGGTCACTTGAGTCCTTGAGTCCAACAGTTTGATGCTAGCCTGGGCAACATGTGACCCTGTCTCTAATTTGAAAAAAAGAATAAAGTTTTCCATTATATGTCATTTGAGAGATACTTGATTTTTTATACTCTTCAGAAAAATATACAGCATTTTATAAAGCAGTTCTCTAAGGCTATGTCACAGCCCTCTGATGTTGAAATGGTCTTATAAATAAATATACCCTTAGATAAGTGTAAAGATTAAAGAAGACCTCTTATAAACGTAACATGTTCCAGGTTGGCTATACTGCCATAAAGCATGAGAATTTTCTAATAGTAGTGAGCATTTTGTTCCTCAGAAATCAGGTAGTTGCCAGAAAATACTTCATACATTTAAGAATACAAACCAATTTTAATTTTTAAAAATATTTTGCTTTACATTTTCCTTGTAAGATTTAATGTTTGCTTTGTTATTTGCATTTTGGTAGATAAGTATATCCTTTAGGATTAAGTTCCCATCTGAGTAAAAGAAAATAAGTATTTATTTGTGACTCGAGAGAATTTTCTTTCTTTCTTGTGGAAAAGTCTAGAGAAAGTCAATCCAAGGTGTTGTAGCAGCTCTCTTCCATAGCGTCTTCAGGGATTCAGACCTTTTCCAGCTCTCCAGTATTCTTTCCTTGGGTGTGCGCATATGCTCATTGGATAAGATGATGTCTGGCCAACAGAGCCACATTCCAACTCCAAGATGGAGGAAAGGGAGAAAAAGAACTGCCTCATAAGGATGGTTCATCGAAACTGCTGTATACAAAGCATTAACCAGAACTTAGCTGGTGTGGTCACACATAGACACAAAGGAGCTGGAAAACAGTGTTAGATCCGAGGAACAGTGGGCCCACCTAACAATCCCATGCATGTGGGAGGGGGAGAGCAGGTATTGAGGGACAGTCTGCTGTATCTACCAGGATAAGCAAATACCTAATGTCAAAATTTGGAATGAATTAACACTTTAGCGGCCCTATATTATTTAAAACAGCCCTATATAGAGGTATAAAATATAAAGCCCAATTCTAGCAATGAATTGGCTTTTCATCCTTAATAGACTTTAGGCAGAACCAGGTTTGTTACAACTATGTTGTCAGGAAACATAATTAAGTGAAATGAAAAACTTGATTTTCTGCTTAAATTAGTTAACTTTAAAATATTATCAAATTTAGCCAAGCACAGTGACATGCGCCTGTAGTCCCAGCCACTCAGCAAGCTGAAGCAGGATCTCTTGAGCCTAGGAGTTCACACCTAGCCTGGGCAACATAAGTGATACCTTGTCTATACAAATTTTTTAATAAGATACCAAATTTATAAAGCACTCAAATAATATAATCAGTATATCAATAATGTTTTCACTGATTTTTCAAGCCAGGGCAGTTTTTATTAATTGACTTTTGCTTTCGTATTCACTATTTTTCAACTTGAGTGGAATTCTATTATTATTAAGTTAGTTTTCCTCAGTATAGTACGTTGACTCTAGTAAAATTCTAAATCCTAAATTTTGGGTCAGAGTAGATATTGTCACCAATTTTCAACTTTATGTAGTCGAGTGAACTGTTTTCTTATTGTAAAGTAATTATAGTATTTTCTGAGGTTCTAAAGAGTGTCTTTTGCCTAAAAGAGTGAATAGCCATACAAATTTTGGCAAGACCATATAATAGGAATGTTTAAAAATATGATTTGTCATGGGTGTTAGATGAAGGGAAAAGATGAAAAATAAGAACATTACAATCAGAAATCAAAGGAAATCAAAATACTTTTTTTACACCTAATGACATAAAGCCAGAAGAGTCCTTTTACTTGCTACCAGTAGAGATGTCTAAATGAAAGTAAACACAATGTGGCAAATTTCTTTTTTTTTCTTTGGAGACAGTCTCGTGCTATCCCCCAGGCTGGAGTGCAGTGGCATGATCTCAGCTCACTGCAGCTTCTACCTCCTGGGTTCAAATGATTCTCCTGCCTCAGCCTTCTGAGTAGCTGGGATTATAGGCATGTGCAACCGTGCCCAACTAATTTTTATATTTTTAGTAGAGACAGCGTTTTACTATGTTGCCCAGGCTGGTCTCAAACTCCTAACCTTAAATGATCCACCTGCTTGCCCTCCCAAAGTGCTGGGATTACAGGCATGAGCCATTGCACCCGGCCTGTGGTGAATTTCTGAAGTACTTATTTAGGTTCTATGTGTAAGAAAAAAGCAAAAATGGCCCAAGAGGACATACCTATCTACCAAGTACAATAGAAAAGTCAGCAGTGTGAATTCTATCTCCCCATGCTGCCAACTGCAAGGACTCATCATAGTCCATACCACTCTCCCTTAGAAAAGAATGTGAGAATTATAGCAATATGTAACAAACTTCTTTAAGTTTAGATCAAAAGTTACATATTATCAACTGAATTCTTAATATGACACCTGAAATTCAAATGAAGGTACACTATAACAAAAGGCATACATATTGTTATGTGATAATAACAACAAAAATATGTCAAATGACTTTACATAATTTTTAAAGAATTTTAAAAAAATCTAGGCTGGGTGCAGTGGCTTACACCTGTAATCCCAGAACTTTGGGAGGCCAAGGCGGGCGGATCATCTGAGGTCAGTAGTTTAAACCAGCCTGGCCAACATGGTGAAACTCCATCTCTACCAAAAATACAAAAATTAGCCTGTCATGGTGGCAGGTGCCCATAATCCCAGTTACTCAGGAGGCTGAAGCAGGGGAATTTATTGAGCCCAAGAGGCAGAAGTTGCAGTGAGTCAAAATCAAGCCACTGCACTCCAGCCCAGGCAACAGATCAAGACTCCATCTCAAAAAAAAAAAAAAAAAAAAAATTAGCACTACTGGTTTATTATTTCAAAGAACGCTTACCTTCTAAAATCTTAGAGTTTCTCTAAACTGTTTTGGGAAAATACTGGGGGAAAGGCTAGAATACAGACAGGCTATTCCCAATGGAGATTAAATCAAGAGCAAATAGACTTCCTTGTAGACACAAATGTTAACAATACTTAAAGATGGAAAAGTGTTCAGTTCTAGTAGTAATAGACATAAAATAGGTTAACTAGCCACTCTGAGAAATTCTCTTTAAGAGCAATTTATTGGTATTATGCATGCAGGTCATATGAATTTATGAGTTTCTTTTATAGCCTTGTAATACTGCAGTTACTTCTAGACATTTCTAATCAGAGAAATGCAGGTCTTTCATTGATCACATTTGAATATAGAATTTTTTACACATTCATGGCTGATTTTATGTGACAATGATATATAGAGTCATTCAGATAAAATGTTTCATGATGATTTCAGTTTCTCCATGAATTTGAAAAAAGAGAGAGATTTATATTAATTGAGGACCAAAACTTGCTTATATTTTTTGTGCCCTACATGTTATTTTTTATTTTATTTTATTTTTTCAGACAGGGTTTCCCCCTGTTTCCCAGGCTGGAGTGCAGTGGCGCGATCTTGGCTCACTGTAACCTCTGCCTCCTGGGTTCAAGCGATTCTCCTGCCTCAGCCTCCCAAGTAGGTGGGATTATGACCACCACCACACCCGGCTAATTTTTGTAGTTTTCAGTAGAGATGGGGTTTCACCATGTTGGCCAGGCTGATCTCAAACTCCTGACCTCAGGTGATCTGCCCACCTTGGCCTTCCAAAGTGCTGGGATTATAGGCATGATCCAACACAACCAGCCATTTTCTATATTTTTTAATGTTTTATTTGCAGTAATTGATAAATTTGGTTTAAAAAATCTATTTCGCCAAATAAGAACATTATGTTTAGTTGTGCATGTTTTTTACTGCATAAACATACTGCATACCTGATTATGTGAAATCCAGGCCATGTCCTGCTCAGCAAGCTGCAGTCACCCACAGCATAGAGCTGTGTCACCCCAGCGCAAGAAGTACGTTTTAATAATTCACAACAAGGTTCCTTACCAGCTATTAGCCCTGCTGCGAAATGAGGGAATAGTCTCAATGTTTTTCTAGAAGCATCCTTTCCCTAAGGCACAGTTTTTTCTGTTTAACCTAAGCAAATATAAATGAAGTAGCAACAGAAAAAGAATCAACAGAACCACCAGACGTATGCAGTTTTCAGATTGTTTTGTTCATCATAACGTGTAAATTTTTAACTTTGTTAAATCATTATGGTTTTCTTCAAAAGTATGAGATAATATATGAACATAAATATCAACAGTGCACAAGAATGAAAATCCCTAATGCGAAATACACAGTCTTGCATATAAGAAGCCAAGAACATTTCTAGATGGGGTTAAAAGGAGTAAGGCATGGAAATAAGTCACATGTATAGTGCTCGCTTCAGCAACACATACATTAAAATTAGAGCAGATGTATAATAGAACCCTGTTGTAATTAGAGTGGAGGGAATATATAGGCACTTAGGTTCATGCCAGCCTTTTCTATTTGGCATTGATCTTGAAGTGCCTGATTTTCATTCTTCTGCCTCAAGTTTTTTGTTCCTGTTGTTTATTGCATATATTCCTATCTTCTTTAGCATTTTTTAGAGAGTAATCCTACTATACAAATTATCTAAAACGGTTATTTATAAATTCCAGAATTAACCAATGTCTTCACTTTCTTTAAAATGTTGGCATAAATTATGTGCTATTTTTGTCCAAAATTTTAATTCTGTCTTTTTAAACCCGCAAGTTAGTATTATTATTGCTCTTATTATATAAACTATGCTTGTTTACATTTTTCTGCATGTTTACCAGCTTCTTTATCACTTCTTTTTGTATCTCAGGCCTTCATTAGGTAATAATTTTCCTTTTCCCTTAAATATATTCTTTAGAATGTATGCCTTTCAAGAAGGAAAAGATCAGACTAAGGAAATTAAGTGGTAAAAAAAATCCAAATGATTGAAGCAAAATAGACTTAGCCAGTGGAGTCATGTTTCCATAGATAACATATTTACTCGAAACAAATTTTAGTTTGAAAGCCTTTAAATAAAATGTGGAAAGTTTGTTTAAATTTAATTTGAAAGCAAGGAGTATAAAGATCCGGTAGAGTAAAAGCATACTTGAGTACAGATATGTTTTAATAATTTCAAGTTGGGCTATCATAGCTAGCTATCTCTTGATGTCTCAATCTTAGTGTGAACCAAGTTTAACTTTTGAAACCATGTTTAGCTTGCTGTAAGCTAGGCTTTAATCAGTTTACTTATTTTCTTTCTATCCTGAAAGGTGGTTTAACTTTTTAAGTTATGTCCTCTTGAAAGCAAATATTTAGGCTTCAGTAGATGTCAAACAGTATAAGTGGTATGTCTGGTGAATGTATGACCATTGATTTTGTTGTCTAATACTTTCAGAATCTCTTTGGCAGTAACAGTCTTGATGGAGGAAGCAGCCCTATGATCAAGCCTAAAGGAGACAAACAGGTGGAATACCTAGATCTCGACTTAGATTCTGGGAAATCCACACCACCACGTAAGGTGAGTGACATGCCTCTTCTGTGTATACAGTTAGTTCACACTTCAAACCTGAAGAATTACCTCCTTTGGGAGAATTTTACTAAGTTATGTTCAATATAAATTTTAGTCTGGTCTGCTACTTGATGCTGTCTCATAAACCACAAATAACATAGTTATGGGGCTGATTATTTTTTTTCCTTCCTGATGGTTGGAAATTTTATACTTTTTACTCTTAGTGGTTACCGTTGAAATGGTTATTTAACGTTTTTTTTGTTTGTTTGTTTTTTTTTTGAGACAGAGCCTTGCTCTGTTGGTCAGGCTGGAGTGCAGTGGTGTGATCTTGGCTCACTGCAACCTCCACCTCCCAGGTCCAGACGATTCTCCTGCCTCAGCCTCCCAAATAGTTGGGATTACAGATGCACACCACCACTCCTGGCTAATTTTTGTATTTTTAGTAGAGACAGGGTTTCACTGTATTACCTAGGATGCTCTTGAACTCCTGACCTCAAGTGATCCACCTGACTTGGCCCTCCAAAGTGCTGAGATTACAGGCGGAAGCCACCGTGCCCAGCCATTATTTAATGAATTCTATAATTAACCAGTCTAGTGTCTTTATTCTCCTTAAAATGTTTGTTCAAATTATTTGCTATTTTTGTACAAAATTTTAATGTTATCTTTTTGTTAAACCCACAAATTAGACAATATTATTACTGTTCTTCTTATATAACAATGTTTATTTACACTTTTCTACGTGTTTACCAGCCTCTTTAGCATTCTTTCTTATTTCTCAGACTTTCCTTCTACAATAATTTTCCCTCCACCTGAAATATACTCTTTAGAAGTGGCATTAGTGGAGATCTGTTGGTGGAAACCTGTGGGTGGGAGACCCCGTGGGAGACTCCATGCTTTGGTTGGCAGTGGACCCCTCAGCCCAAACTCGGTTTTCTCTTTCTTGATGTCTTGTGTCTTTTATTTCCACAGTTTCTCGTCTCCACACCTGTAGAGAGGGGCTCACAGGACCCTGTAGGGCTGGACTCTACAAAAACTTTTTTCAGTTTTTGTTTAACTTAAATGTCTTTATTTTGCCTTCTCTTGGAAACAGTTTGCTTAAGTTCACAGTTCTTGATCAACAATAATTTTCTCTCAGCCCATAGAAGATACTGTCCCACCCACTGTCTTGCTTCTATTCCTATAGAAAAATTTGCTGTTAGTCTAATTGTAATTCCCTTGTAGCTAATGTCTTCTCTGACTGGCTGATTTTAAGATCATTTCTATGTCTTTGGTATTCTACAGGTTCACTACGATATGTCTAGACATAGATTCCTTTTTATTTATCCTGATTTGTTAGAAGTGCTGTCTTCTTTTTGGATTCGTATTTTTTTTTTATCAATTATGGGAAAGTCTCAGGCACTATTCAGATACTGCTTTTCCATTTCTAAAATGAAATTCTGTTTCATTATATTCTTTTTCAAATATATCTAGCTAATTTAATAGCACTTTTTCAATATCTGAAATCCTTGGAGGTTGCATCTGTGTATATTGTTTCTCCTAACTCACACTCTCTACAGCTTGTTTCTTTGTGTGTTTTATGTTTTTATTGCAAACTCATTTTGTTGAACGTATCTGTGGGAATTCTGAGGACCTGAATTTCCTCCATAAACTATTTATATTTGCTTCTGCTAGGAACCAGGAGGTGCTACCACCCTAGGACCCCATCAGTTCCCTTTAAGGATCCCTAGTTTGACGGGATAGTCTCATTTCAATACAGGGCCTCCTGATTGCATTTTTGAGATTGATAGTCATCCTAAAGCCAACGCTGCCTTTACCATTTAGAAGCTCACCACTCCCTCTGCTTTTCTTATACCTTAGACATTTCACTTTCTAGTGAGCGCAGCAGTGCATTGATAATTTTATTTAAGTATCTATCTCTTTTTGAATTTTAGGAATAAGAGGGCATCAGCCATGTAGTTTGTCATTCTTGAGGTAATGCTTTTCAAAAAAAAATTTCTTGTGCTGTCAAAGTAAACATTGATTCATGCTCTCAGAGCTTGAGAGAAAGTCAAACTTAAGTTGACAGGAGAATCAAGCTGTCTATGTTAAGATAAAACAGGCATCTGCTGTCCCTATTGTATATGAATTTCATCTGCAATGGAAGCATTAGTTTGAATTCTTTTTTTATTGAGATGGAGTCATTTTATAAATTTAATAAGGCAATTAGTATATAGTTAGGAGAGAGACATTTTTAAGTTTAGGTAGTTGATATTATTTTTTGTGTGTGACCCAGAAAAATTTTAAGAGTATTCATGGCGAGGCATGGTGGCTCATGCCTGTAATCCCAACACTTTGGGAGGCCAAGGTGGGCAGATCACCTGAGGTCAGGAGTTTGACACCAGCCTGACCAACATGGTGAAACCCTGTCTCTACTAAAAATACAAAATTAGCCAGGTGTGGTGACGCATGCCTGTAATCCCTGCTATTTGGGAGGCTGAGACAGGAGAATTGCTTCAACCCAGGAGACAGAGGTTGCAGTGAGCTGAGATTGCACCACTGCACTCCAGCCTGGGCAACAAGAGCAAAACTCGTTCTCAAAAAGAAAAGAGTATTCACAATGCATGTGTGTCTGTGTTTTAAGACTGAGTTTTACTCAGAAACACTCCTTTATATGTTGGACTTTTTTTTTTCTTTGTGTTTTAGCAAAAGACCAGTGGCTCAGGCAGCAGTGTAGCAGATGAGAGGGTGGATTATGTCGTTGTTGACCAACAGAAGACCTTGGCTCTCAAGAGTACCCGGGAAGCCTGGACAGATGGGAGACAGTCCACAGAATCAGAAACGCCAACGAAGAGTGTGAAATGAAAATACTGCCTTGCCATTTCTGAACAAAAGAGAACTGAATTTAAAGATAAATCCCTTTTGAAGAATGACTTGACACTTCTACTCTAGGTAGATTCTCAAATGAGTAGAGTTGAAGTCAAAGGACCTTTCTGACATAATCAAGCAATTTAGACTTAAGTGGTGCTTTGTGGTATCTGAACAATTCATAACATGTAAATAATGTGGGAAAATAGTATTGTTTAGCTCCCAGAGAAACATTTGTTCCATAGTTAACACACTCATAGTATTACTGTATTCATGCACTTTTTCATCTAAAACATTGTTTGGGGTATTCCCAATGTATCTTAACATAATTCCATTGAGAATCCTTGTTTATTGTCACACTACTTTATATAACAATACTAAGTTAACTAAGCTACTTTTAGATTTGGAAATTGCTGTTTAAACTGCAGTCTAGCAACATTAAAATGAGAGGTAGATTCACAAGTTAGCCTTCAACCTGCAGCTTCAGGTGATAACCATTAGCTTATACTTGGACTCATCATTTGTTGCCTTCCAAAATGCTGAGGATAATGTATGTACCGGTGTCAGGACCTAGTTCTCTGGTTATTGTACATTTAGTTTTTAATGGTGGAACTTTGTTATATTTTGTGAATTACAGCGTTGTTGATTCATCGAGTGAAGATTCTGCCGGGTAGGATCTTGCACCTTTGAAAGACTTAATAATTACACTATCAAGTAAGCCTGCAAATCATTGATGGCATGCAGTGATGATGTGCTCTTACACTTGTTAACATGTATTAAGTGTTATTTGCAAAAGGTAGATTATATAACTAATCAGGTACGTACCAGGCAGTGATATGCTAATACACTGATCAGGTTTAGACAATGAGCTTTGGTTGTGTTCTTGTTAGTCCTAATATTGGTTTTCAGTTTGGAATTAATAAAGCAGTTGACATTCACTGTTAGTTATAGCAACATACTGTGATTTTTAATTAGACAGTAATTTAGATTTGTTACTCTATGAAATTCTATCTTTTGACACCATAGTGCCCTTTCTATGATTTTTTTACTTAATATTCTTCTTGGCCTTATATTTAAATCCCTATGCAATTAATATCTTATATCTGCATTTTTTTAAAAAAAAATAGATGTTATATAAGTGATTCTCATATGTAGTACCTGTTGCTTTTCCACTAAAAGAATTAAGGATTTTGTACTGTGATTTATATTCACTGACCCAATTCAAGAAATATTGGAGCCTTGCTATAATGTGAAATTTTATAGTCATGGACTCCTTCCAACTAGATTTCTGAAACCACCAGAAGGATGGTATAATTCTGTCTCACCTATGACGTGGTCCTGTGACATAGATATTAAGACCACAAGTTACAGTGAGGCTACAGTTATATTCTTCTGTCTTGGCTTTGCAACGTAATTTAGAAAACAGGTATAGTTGTTTGTCTTTTCACCAAGTTACATACAATCTCGTACTGATTTGAAACTTGTAACAATATTTGGAGGGGGCATAGAGAAAGGAGAGTCCACATGTGAGGCATGACTCCCTCCATTCAGACCTTTAACTGTTGCCTAAATACATAGATGTGCCCTGATTTCTCACCCATTGGCCATAGTACTGTGCCTAATCAATATAATAGGTTTATTTTCCCAATCCACAAACTAAAAATGTTCATAGCAAGATGAATTGTAGACCAGTAACATTTGATGCCTTTAAACATTTGCTTCTTTTTAAACAAAAACTAAAACCCAGAAGTGAATTTTTAGGTAAATTTTTAAATAAAAAAGATTGATTGAGTTTGGTGTGCAAGCTGTTTTATAATGAAACCACAAAATAAAATCTAAAATCACTAAAATGTGCCTAAACTATCAAAACACACAATACAGCTAATGTGTAAAGATACTGAATTCTGTTACTTGGAGGATGAATATAGTTAAGATTTTAAACACAGTAATAAATACATGATTAATTCAAAAATAAAAAATCTTTCTTTACAGCTGTCTATCAGAAGGGTCTAAAGCGCTTATGAATGTTTTTAGTTTAATTTATCATTAACTTTTTACAAGTTACCATATTTGAAGATTTGCAGCACTCTCATTTTCAGAAAATTTCCCATTATTCTGAATAAGAACAGGGAGGTATTAGAAAGGCAGTTTTCTTTAGAAAACTAAATCACATTGAACATTGTATTAGAGAATTAAAAGTTTTTTATAGAGCAGTGTTTTCCAACATTTTTAGCACTAGAATCTTTTTTAAATGAAATTTTATGTGTAATCCCAATATATATAGCCTGAAAAGTCCATCTTATCAATATAAATCTATTTTGAGTTCACATTTAAGTTTATTCATTTTGGCTCCTTACTAAGCATAATAAGATTCTGAATTATTCCTGAATAACACAAATGTAGAGTTAATACATGGTTGATGAAAACAGCACCCAATTTATAGCTATGCCTTTATTTGTATATTACCAAGAAAATTTTGATTCATACATATGTCAGCAAAAATAATGGGTTTTAAACATACATCTCAGGAAATTCTTTAGTTAGAGATAGCTAAATTTATTCAAGGTCTATACAAAGATAAATTATCCTGGTAGTGAAAATTAATACATAAGCAGTCTCCAGTGTGTTAAAGTAGGGTATGTGACATTTTAGAATGAGCATTTTTATTAAGTTGTAAAATATACACATATAAAAACTAAATTTGAATCAAACCATTTTACTCACCTCCAAGAAGCTAGACTTTGGCCAGGAGTGGGCTAAAAACCACTGGTTAACCATGTGACAGTTATGATGTTATAGTTGGAAGTCTTTTTCTTCCACTTTAGAGTTCTTTACCTTAATTCGTTATTTTGAAAAATCGTAAGATTTTATGAAGGTTTGAATACCAAAGCACAGTTCTGCTTTCAAAACTTAAAATTCAAACTCGAAAAAGCTGTTTAACCCATGGAAGGTATCATTTAGTAAGCTGTACAGATTTTTTACATCTACACTTCAGTTTATACATCTTTATCATTATCAATACCATATAAGTTACTGTGAGCATTTTAGAGAATTCCATAAAGGTACTATGAGTGTGTCTGTTTGTGTGTGTGTATATATAGCATTGTATTTAATCATAGACTAAATTTAATTTGATACAGAAATATCACTATACTTGTACATTAAGGTCATAATTTCTGCTGGACTCTTTTATATTTAATTAATAGGGATTACAGTCTTCCTTCATAAATGCATTTAAACCGGAAATTGAATACCAGTGTTTTTCTTTTTCTACTTATGGGAAGTTGTCTACTTCCCCCTTTAGAGAAAACAGTATTTTTGTATTTTGTTAAAATATTAACTACTTTATGCCTACTACACACTATGCTGTAGCTACTGATTATAATTCTTCCGTGTTCACAAACACACCTAGTGCCTCTTTTTTGGCTCGTTAAAAGTGTTGGTGTTAGTACTTTGACTACAGACCCTTTGGCCTTTTAATAATGCTGAGGTGAGCTGATCCTTCCTATTTCTGTCTTCAGGTCATTCTGATAGGTCTTGTCCTCCACTGTCAGGTAAGCAATCAGGTCCATGACAGGGATTAGACATATGAACAAATCAAGTGGATACACACAGTGAGAAAGATACACATTCTATGATAACAATTACTGTCAACACCTGATGTTACATACATATATATGTATAATTTTAAAAACAACTAGGAGATGAAAAGCCATAGTATAAATAAATACTGTAGACACCATGGACTTGATTTGATAGAAATCAACTGTTAGGTTATTGAGATGGTTGTTTTCAATCTGTCTAAATAATTTATGCATTACTACAGTTAAAAATGATTTGGTTTGTCTTCTATAGACTTAATTTTCTTCCTGTTCAGTATAATACCTGTTAACAGAATTTCAGCAAACTGACTGGTCAAGGTATTAACATAGTTTCTACTTCCTTTACCTAAAAAGGTGGTTTTATGTAAGTTCTTGATTGCTGATGATCATCCCAAATTTTGACAACAAAATCATATGTATAAATTTATTTCTCTCCTCTTGCTCATAATCTTTGTAAAGGTCCCATTGTAGATCTTTTCTCCTACCAAATAAAACTTTTCAAACAATTTGGTTTCCAGGCCTTAAATAGACAATTTGGACACTAAGATTGTGAACTAATAACGACATAGAAATTTATATTTCCAACCCTTCCTTAGAGTCTTAATCTGCATCAAAAACCTAATTCTGCCATTAACTGTGCTTCCCAGTCGCACTTCTATGTGTCACTCATTTTCTGCAACAAAGATCTCACTAAGTCATGTTGAAATACAAGTCACGATCCTCTCTAACTAAAGAGGAAAAGCTTCCTGGAGAAACTCTGTTGCCACATACAAGTTCCCTGTTACTCCTCCAGCCAGCCAGTGCTACCAGCATTTTATTGAGTAAAAGTCAAAATAAACGTAAGCCCACATGCAACCTTTATCTTCAGAAACTAGGTTTTATACGTAAAATGTGGCTTGGGAAATGATTCTGTTTATTAACTTGCTGAGCTTTTTCATTTCTATGTGAGTTTCTAACATCTCCAGTACTTTGTAAAATCCTAACAATTACTGTAAGTCGGCACTTTGGTTCTCTTAGCCCATCCAGTCCACTTGCAACTCTGTCACTAAATCATATTTGGGAAGTTTGGGTACTGTGAGGTTATCTTCTTTGAGATTATTTTCTTATATGTCTGGCACCTTGTAAACCATGAGACTCCTGGGTATTTGAATGTAACTTCTTTGAGGAAGTTACCACCATCTCTGATATAGTCACACTTTTTGAGTTGCAGTTTTTGTTAGAATTTTATGGAGAATAACTTGTCAATTCTGTGAATGTTATTGAGTATTTAAAAAGCTGAGTCTGTAATGGGAGGCATTTTATTAACTTGTGATTGGGTAACATGTCCTCTTAGATTTCCTGATTTAAAATCATACAAAATAACTATTTTTGATGAAATAAAGGAACGCCTAGAGAAAATTAAGTTTCTAATATGTTTCTACACTTCATTAGAAAAGATTTTATTACTATTACTTATGGTTATTGTTGGTGATTAACTCTTAACATGTCTCCGCTGATTTTGTGTTCCATGTGGTGCTTGGAACATTTGGAGTACTCTGAGGGTGGGGAGTGCAGGGACATACAGTGGTATAGAAAATTTAAAAATTAAAATCAAATAATACCCCAAAAAGCCCACTTTATCAGATATGGTATTCTGATGGTTAATTTTATGTGTCAATGTGGTGAAGCTATGGCGCCCATGTGTTTGGTCAAACACTAGATGTTGCTGTGAATATATTTTGTAGATGTGATTGTAGATTTACAATCAGTTGATTTTAAGTAAAGCAGATTCTCATCCATAATGTAGTTGAACCTTATTCAATCAGCTAACGGCCTTAGAGCAAAAGCTGAGGTTTTCAAAAGAAGAAGGAATTCAGCCTCAAGATCATAACAAATTAATCCTAAGTTTCCAACCTTGTAAATTTTGAACTGAAGACTGCATCATCACCTCTTATCTGCTGGCCTACCCTACCAACTTCAGACTTGCCAGTTCTTACAATCCTGGAGCCCTTCTTAAAACACTCTCTGTCTCTCTCTCTCTCTCTCTCTCTCTCTTTCTCCCCCGTCTCTGTCTCCCCCGTGTGTGTGTGTGTGTGTGTACACATAAATATGTATCTTCAAACACACACATATATATGTGTATCTTACTGGTTCTGTTTTTCTGGAGAACCATGACTGATATACATATTGAGTCATTAATCTGAGTGCCTCTCACACCGAGCAATAATTTTGAAGTTTAACTTGCAATGTATTGGCAGTCTGCTCCAAAAGTTTACCATTTACAGACAGTGAACCATGTTTCCACTTCTGCTGGCCATAACTTTTTGTCTTCTAGGAACCATTAAATTGACATCTCCAATGATGGAAAACAGTATTCTAAGAACACAGATGACTGCATTCTTGTTGCATAGGGTACAGGATACTATTAAGGACAGAATTTCATTTATAACACTGGGCCGTAGTCTTCACCTCTTCACCCTTGTCACATGCTATGACCTTACACGTTTATTTAGCTTTTCCTGCTTTAAATTTCCATTTTGTATGTAAAACATATTACCCTACATACCCCAAAGCTACTTTTTAATCAGCCTTGTTAATGCGTTTGAAAGTTGCTTATTCCAATCCTTAGACAAAACAGTAATTTTGGAAGTCAGACTAAGAAGATACTGTTGTCCCAGATTTTGATTCTACTTGATGGTCGCTTACTAATAATTTAGCCATTTCACTAAGGTAGCTGCTACACGTTGAATTATTCAAGGCATTATGGGAAACATGAAAGAAATCTACCTCATCTTTATCTTTACAAATTAATATGTGTGAAATAATACAGGACAGTAAGTGATTATTTCTGAGGTACCAACTGTGAGCTACCAACAAAGAGACAAAGTTCTACAGTCAAGAAAACCTTCCTAAAGATGGAGACTGAGCTGGACATTGGGAGAACATTAGCTTGACTAGACAAAGTTCTACAGTCAAGAAAACCTTCCTAAAGATGGAGACTGAGCTGGACATTGCAAGAACATTAGCTTGCTGTTGGTTTTTTTCATGAGAAGAGGTAAGGAAAATGACAAAAGCAGGATATAGAGAACTATGTATTGGGTGGAAGGTTATGAAATATTGTATTAGTTATCCAATGCTGTGTAACCAGAATGTAGTGACTTTTTCTATCTCATAGTTTCCATGATCAAAAATTCAGGAATGTCTTGGCCAAAGAGCTCTGGCCCAGTGTTTCTACAGAAATTATAGTCAAATCAGCTGAAATGAGTTATTTAGGGCTGAAGAATCTACCTCAAGTGGTTTACTCACATGGCTGGCAAGTTGGTGCTGCCTGTTGCTGGGAGCCTCTCTTTCTCTTCAGGTGACTGCTTCACAGAGCTGCTTGAGTATCCTTGTGGCATGGGGGCTGGCTTTCCCCAAAGCTAGTGATCCCAGAGACCAAACAAATGACCTAGACTTAGAGGTCACACACTGTCATCTCAGCTGTGCGCTAATGGGTTGTATAGTCCACTCCTTAATTCACTGTGGAAGGAGACTTGCAAGGGTATGAATACCAGGAAGTAAGGATCACTGGGAGCCATCTGAGAGGCTAGCTGTCACAAAGGCAGAGTAAAGAGTCGAGAGATGGGACCAAAGATGGGAGACCTTGGGAACTCAAGTATGTTGGGAATTAAGGACTTGAAAATGTCAGAACAATAACCCAAAGCATGGAAAGAATAGGCCACAAGAAGTCAGGAGACAGTTCTAAGCCTAGGTCTGAGTTTCACTGTGTGTTCTTATAAAGATATTGAACAGTTACTGTTCAATATAGTATATATTCTTATGTAGTCCTCATACTATGAATTTATCACAGGTCAGGTGGCTAGAAGTCAAGCATCAAGGCTGTGTTGGTTTAATTTCTTCTGCGGTCTCTTGACTTGTAGATAGCCGTCTTCTCACTGTGTCCTCAGATGGTCTTTTTTTCTGTGTTGGCATCCCTGGTCCTGCTCTCTCATTATAAAGAAATCAGATTAGATTAGGTAAAATGCATAATTTTACCTTAATTACCTCTTTAATGATCCTAACTCCAAAAAGTTGACACATTCTCAGCTTGTGGCTATGTTTATATCTCATCTACCTGGCTATTTTAATCTTTTTGCAGCAGGAAAAGATGGCGCACTCAAAGGAGTAATTGAAGAGACTTGAATGAAGGGACTATTGTATGGGTAGGGTTGGGGGAACCAACAGGAGTGGTTAAAAACCCTGTGCAATCTGCATGTGGTAGTGCATGCCTGTAGTTCCAGCTACTCAGGAGGCTGAGGCAGGAGGATTGTGTGAGTCCAGGAGTTCAAAGCTGCAATGAACTATGATCACACCACTGCACTCCAGCCTCGACAAAGCAAAATGACTCCATTTCTTAAACGATAAAAATAAAATCCTGAGCAACAGTAAGTGACTAGCAACAGTGAGAAGCCATTACCACTTCTAGAATTAAGGAGGCAAGTGGAAGGAGCTGTTAACACCCAGCAAGAGCTGTAGCTGGTGGAGACAGGCTGCCAACAGACACTTTATTTTTTTCATTATTATTTTTTTTTACATGGGGTTTCACCATGATAGCCAGGCTAGTCTTGAACTCCTGAGCTCAGGTGATCCACCCACCTTGTCCTCCCAAAGTGCTAGGATTACAGGTGTGAGCCACCACGCCCGGCCTCAGACACTTTAAAGGGACACACACCCTATCAAATGCTGACCAGCAGTGAAGAAACCAGGGTATCTCTCCCACAACTTGCCATTGGCTAAAACCAACCAGCAGCCAGAGAGCCTGGGAATCCAGAATATGTAATACAGAGAAGTCAGTCTCCCAGGGCACATGGGAAGTCAGAGAAGGGTGGAGGATACATCAGGTACAGCAAACAGAGAAAACCCTTAACAATATCCATATCTGTCATCATGTCAGACCAATAATTCAATTAATGTTTTATTGATCATCCTCAAGGAAAGAAAATATCTGTAGATTGGCTTGCTTCACAGCTGATTCAACTTCTCTCTGGAATACTCTCCTGTACTTAAGAAGCTGTAAGGATAAAAACTACCTTTCCCAGACTTCCTTGCAACTAAAGTGCTGCTTGTAATTGACTTTTCACTAGTAATACTTGCTTAAACTCAGAAACTGAGTTCAATGGAGACTGAAGTCTGTGAGGCATCAATATTAAACCTAGCAGTTTGCATTTAGGATATGAACCAATGAATTCATACTAAGGAATTCCGGCAGTGGTGTATGCTTGGAGCCAATACTTGCCGTGGTAGATTACTGTACCCTGAAGGTATGATGGTTTCAACCGTTGGGGCAGTGGTTTCCTGAACCCAGATTCCTGATTGTTCCCATGTCTGGCAGTTTTGTAGCATTGTTCAGAGAATCATTTCTAAAGAGCCTTCACACCTACCAGTGAGTGTAAACTTAATTCTCTGTATTAAATTATCTGTTTTTTAAAATTACTAGTGTGGCTTGATTCTGTTGTTCTGACACAGGGGCCAAGCTTGTTTCATTCAGAATTTTTTTTCTACTTTCACATTGTAAAACTGTAATTAAGACAATTTGGGATAGTAAGAAGAAAAATGCCCACAAACCATGTTAATTCCCTACCATTGCCTAAATGTGCAGTTGGACTCTACTTTTTGCATTAACTATTATTATAAATGTTTTCCTAGGTGTTAAGCATCTGAATTGTTATTTTTAAAGACTGCATAATATTCCTTCAAATATTTTGAAATACTCAATGGTAATATACAATATTGATACAGATGTATGTGATACACTATCATTTACACCACTAGGAGCGTAAGTTGGTACAACTTTTTATTTTTTATTTTATTTATTTATTTTTGAGATGAAGTTTCACTCTTGTTGCCCAGGCTGGAGTGCAGTAGTGTGATCTCAGCTTACTGCAACTGCCACCTCCCAGGTTCAAGCCACTCTCCTGGCTCAGTCTCCCAAGTAGCTGAGATTACAGGCATGCACCACCACGCCTGGCTAATTTTGCATTTTTAGTAGAGATGGGGTTTCACCTTGTTGGCCAGGCTGGTCTCAAACTCCCGACCTCAGGTGATCACCCACCTCAGCCTCCAAAGTACTGGGATTACAGGCGTGAGTCACCACACCCGGCTACGGCTTTTTCAAAGAGCAATTTATACATATGATTTTAAAGTCTTGAAACTGTAGTTAACCTTTAACATAGCAATTACATTTCAAGCAATTAGCATCAAAGAATTAATCACAAAAATATTGTCTCCAATGAGTTAGGGGCTTATCCAACAATGGAGAGACAATTAAGTTGTACACACACATGTATATAGCAATTTATAATATAGAATAATAATTTTTGATAGCATGTCCTTCCACAGGGGAGACTTCAGAAAGGAAAGGTAGATCAAGTATTTAAGAG